ACATTATCCACACGTGATGACCCAACAATCCACCCTGCAGCTACAGAAAGCTAGGAAAGGTTTCAGCTCCCACATGTCTGACAGGTTGAAAACACCAGGTGTCAGACTCAGGTGAATGGAAGGCTTTGTCACTCACTTGTAGGTCACTTACTTTTCTTGTATGGGATGTGGCTTCCCACTCTCATCTCTTGAACCAGCTCTAAAAGCATCTGATCTTCAGCCTTGGTCCATTCCTTCCTTTTCAAATCCTTGTTATAGATTTGATACTTCTGCAAGCACTGGAAAGGTGTCCTGTTTGTCTTTAATACAAGGAAAACAGATACACAGAGAACTGGTTATTTATGAGGAGCGAGAGGGAAAGGCTGAAGTACTGAATGTTTTTTGCAACGTTCTTGGACATTTCTCAGAAAAGCATTAATTACCAGTGGATTAGCATCAACATTGTCTCCTGAAACCTAACATGAGGCACAGCTAAGTGAGATTTAAGTGGTTTGTCACCTCAGACCTTACCCCCAGCTCCTGGGCTATGCTCTGCCAGTCCAGGTAGTTGTGTTTAGCAGCGATTCGCTTCAGCCTCTCTATTTCCTCCTCAGTCCACTCCTTTTTGTTGATGCTTGGATGCTCCCAATTTTCCCAATACTTCTGCAGTTCTTCTGAACTACGTTGTCCATCGAACTGAAAGAAACAACAAAAATCAGTTTTATCTTAAAAAGCTGGGACTGACACCCCTGGACAGACAGGAACATCCCAGATGTCTTATTGCCAGGCTTTCCAGAATTAAACCATCAAATTGAACAATCTGAGATCACTTAACAGTCAACTTGGAGAAATGCATGATGGAAACAGTGGATGCAGACCAGGTCAGGAGATTCTCAAGAGAAGGGACACAGATATCAGAAGCCATAAAACAGATGATCCCCTCAACTTACATGGATGTTTGAGATTTTCTCCCAGTCGTGCTCATCGAATCTGTTTCCTAACAAGTCACTTTCTGGGAGTTGGCTACAGCAGAAGGTACAAAGAGCAAGAAAGAACCATGTTAAATGGTTATTTAAACACTTCATCTTCTTGATCCTGCTTCATCTTTTTCCTCCCACCTGTTCCTGGCTTCCCCAAGAACCGAACACTTGGTTTAGCAGGAGAAACAATTCATGTAATATCCAAATATGCTGCTCTGGACACATTCATGAGCAAAAGCTCAAAGGCACTACACATTTCAGAGCTCTCTGAAACCAAGAGCTATCCAAAGCAGCACCTCTACAATGGGTACAGATACTACATTTTGTGTATCAAGGCCCAAAACACAATTTACAGTAAAGAACTGTGGAGATGAAAGAGCTGCTCTACAGCACTTCATTTTTTACAAGCCGACACAAATAAGCATTTCTCCAAACATCACATCTAGAAGTAGAAGGAGAGAACTCTAAAAGCTAAACTCCAAGAAGAGACCTTTATTTTTCACCAAGAACATAAAAGGACTTACTTAATTGCTTCTATTTCTCGCTCCAATTCTTTGATTTGCTTTTCCAAGGTCTGTTTCTCCGTTTCAGTCTTGACCTTCTCCAGTTTCTGATTCCAATAACTCATCCTGTTCAAAGACATTTTTATCATTAGATAGATGGAATGAGGTCAATGGCATCAGAAGACATTTAACAGAGAATTTCCCCATCAGTACCATTCCTTCCTTCAGTTTATTTCCACACAAAACTGTTGTTCTCCCAGGTTTTCCCACATGGCACACTCACTGTCCTATTTTTGCCCCTTCAATGCAGTCATTGACCCAGAACACATCTCAGATGAACCAGTTTAGTATTTACAGGGGGAACCAATGGTTGTTACAACAGCAATAAAGACTGTACCAGCTCCAGTACAGAAATCTCCCTCTGGACACACCATTGTGACTCACTTCATGTCACAGTTCCAGCTTCAAGCCCTGCAGATTATTTTAACTTCTATCACTGTGTCAATGGGAAGAACTGGATGGCTATAAAATCACCCAGTTAACACAAGAACTCGCTGAAGGAAGGTGGAATCTCCACATCTACCTTCTCCTTCCCTCACAGGTAACATTCCCAGGAGAATGGAGGGGTTTTGTCAGCACTCACTTGAGGAGCTTTGGCTGGAGCAGGCGTTGCAAGCGGTCGCTCACCACTGATTTCTGCAGCAGCGTCTTCTCCCTGCTCTTCCCTGAACCAGACAGTGGAGCAGTCAGACATCAGTGCAGAACCACTGCCAGGAGAGACCCCCCACTGCTTCCAACAGCCCTGGAAACACCCCCCAGGTCTGCAGTGGGAGTTCCCTGCCCACATCACTGATGTCACCAACAGCCCCTCGCTCGGTTTTATCTCCAACAAGAACCTCAGCCAAGATCATCATCAAGGTGTTTGTGACCACCTAGAGCTGGAGGTGCCCACTCTCTACCCTTGCACCACGAGATTTGGAATGCTCACAGGACTTGCTGCATCAAAACAAATGCAAATGAGTCACTAATCACTCAATAAACTACATTTTTTGTGGAGTCAAGTGTGCAATATCTGAAACGCTGATGTTTATCTGCAAATGGCACACATAGACTAACAATTTGAATATTTACATTTGTTACAGCTCTTCCAGAACACTGGACAGCCCACAGAGTTACTCACACTTTGCTGAATGCAGCTGTTCAAAGGATTTTATGCCCTGAGCTGCCTTTTCCTTGGCATCTTCATTGGAAGGAGGGCCCTGGTGAGGATTAGAAGGGTTAGATACACTGGAAGAGTCAGACACACAGAATAATTATTCTTTCTCCTTAGAACTGGAGCATGAACTGCTACAAAAACACAGTTACAGTGCAAATCTATCACTGAAGACACAGTTACAGTTACTTACAATCCCTGTGGTTTTATCCTTAAAGTAAGGCTTCATAAAGTGACCCAAAAACACGTTTGCTGGTAGATTTCTGCCATCTCCTGCCTTGGCTGTTTTTGTGGAACCATCGAGCTCACCCATGATTTCCTTCTGCAAGACAAGAGTTAATTAAACAGTGTCAGTGTCTCCTTCAGACTCCTGATTTCAGAGAGCAGTGGCTGAGCCACCACAAACATCCCAGGCAGGGTTCCAGTTTGCAGCACCAGGCTGGAAATCAGTGCACGTTACAAGTCAGGATTTGGAACTTCCTGACTTTGTACAGTGCAATGCAGATGACTGAAACATTAATTAAATACTAACTTGCCACAACAGGCTAAAATGTAAGATGCAAACCACCCATTTTTGGTAGTAGGAAAGGATGGAAACATCAGTCCAATAAACCACTTGAAAAGACACTCAGTGACAGCTGCTCACCTGCTGCTCCCTGTTCTGTGCAATGAGCAGCTCCACTTCCTCGATCTTTTCCTGGATAACCTCCTGGTACACGTGGTTCATCTGCAGGCACGTTTCTGGATCCTGGGGCAGGCTCTCAATGTCATCATCACTGCTGTCTTCTTCTTCTCTCTCCACTTCCTTGAGGCAAACAAGGCATTTAAGGGGAAAAGGGAAAGAAATGCTTGCTTTAAAGGCAGGTATGTAACATAATTAATTTTCTAATTGAACACCTGTTTGATCCACAGCCATCTCCCTGGGCACAGAGCCAAAGTAGCTGCCTGGATGTCCCTATTTTCTCTTCAATATACAGATAGAAAGATATGTTTAAAGAGAAAACATTTACCATTTCAGCATTAGAATCTTCATCGTCATCATCTTCATCATCTCCTTCATCATCATCTGTTGGACAACACAAATATAAAAGTGCTGACTGTAGTGGGATGAAATGAAAGCCTCAAACCCAAAACTTTTCAATTAAAGCAGACAGAATAAAGCAGCACAGAGAACCCAGACATGACAATCAGTGGCTCTGGATACCGACAACACTGTTGAGTGAAGTTGCACTTAGTTACACTCCACATGTGCAATTTTTCTGTTCTAGAGTAGGAAAAAGGAGGATCTCTGGATAACTAAGGCAGGATACCCACAGCAATAATCCAGCTACATCCTGGCCCTGCACACGGTGGCAAATGAGAGGCTCCAGGGCGAGCAGCCAAGTGAACATTCCAAGCCAAGAGGAACAGAAACTCTGAGAGCACCAACAGCCCCTCAGCAAGCCCTGGGTTTGCACCCAGTGCTACCGACTCCTGACAGAAGTTATTCACACTTGCACCACCAAACAGAGGTGGGTGAAGCCACTACGGGCAGAGATGCTCGAGCTGTTACCGCCTCCCCTTTGCTTTGAAGAACGAACTTCTAGGCGTTGCGGGCGGGCTGTGGGATGGGGCGGCTCACACAGGGTTTGGGATGCCCGTTCAGACGCTGTGGGAGCTCCCAGCCGGCTCCGGGGGTCTCACCACGCGAACACGCCCCACGCCGGTGCCGCCGCTCCCCCGAGCCCCCCCCCAGCCCGTACCGCTGCCGGAGCTGAGGCTGCAGTCGGACACTGCCAGCTCGACGCCGCCCCCGCCGGGCTGCAGGCTGCGCTCCAGCTCCTGGATCTCGCGGCGGATCCTCTCCCGCTCCGCGTCCAGGTCGAGCCCCGGGGGGCTCCGGGGGGCCCCGGCCGGGCCCGGCCCGCGGGACATGGCGGGGCCGCCGCTCCGCGCTGGGGCTGCGCTGGCCCCGCCCCCTCCCCCGCTCCCGACCAATCGCTGCGGGCCTCCGCGTCAGCTGGGCCTCCCCACGTGACGCCGCGCAGCCAATCGCGGCGGGGCTCGGCACACGTGGGGCGGCCCCGGGCCCTGCGGGGACCGAGACCCAGCGGGGGTTTGGTGGGATCGGGAATGGGATCGGGATTGGGATCGGGACCCGACCCACAGCCCCTTCGCCTGCCGCGGCACGGGGAGCCCCAGCCGAACGCCGAGGTGCTGGCGGAGGAGGGGCAGTGCTCCCAGGATGCGCTCCTGTCCCGTCGGGATTTAGCGGTGCGTGGGCTGCGCGGTGCGCAGGGATGGGGACGCCCGTTCTGCGGCTCCGTGCATCGACATGAGGCCGAGTATCAAAAAATTCGCTTTTTAGTAATGGTTACTAAACGAAAGCAAAGTCCTCCGTGGTGTCTGAGTCACTCACTGTCCGTCCTCTGACACCTCGGAAATTCTGTCGATGGATTTCAGGAGATCGGCCACGAGCTGCAGGGATTCTGCTCCGGAGAGGAGCTGCCTGGAATGGGAGAGGCACAGTTACACGGAGGGGGGCAGAGAATCCACGGGCAGTTTTGGTGGGGATTGCCCACAGTGTGACCCATCAAGCAATGCCTTATCAAGATTGGAACCTTCACTTCTTACGGTGAAGTATGAGAGACTTAGAGACTCCCATGTCCCACTTTTTATTTTACCCACACTTGGAGGAAAACCCACTGCAGGGGAATAAGAACATGGAGTAGCTCACCTGGCACACACAACACAAAAACCTGAGATTCAGTGCTAAAAACCCCACTGAGGAGGTTTATTTGTGAGCCCAGGATTTAGCCCAGAGCCTGGGATGGGCTCAGGAGAGGGGTCTCACCTGATGGATGCTCTGGAGCTGGTTGTGACCCTGAGCAGGTGCTGCAGGGCCAGCTCTGCGTTCTGCTTTGCTGCTGCCAGCCCTGCCTGGCCCAGCTGCAGGGCCTCGTTCTCTGCCTTGTAATTCCTCAGCTGGACCTGGGGGGAAACAGGCAAAAACTGGGAGAAACAGCCCCAAAACTCCAGGGGATACCTGACAATGATAATGATCACACAGCAATTGATGTGATGTAATAAATCACCCACACAAAGGTGGTGAGGAGAATAAAAGGATGCAATAAATAGTGACTAAATCCCAACACCAGACTCCCAGAATTATAAGGGTTGGAACAGGCCCCTGGAGATCATCCAGTCAGGCAGGGTCACCCAGAGCAGGTGACAAAGGAACAGGTGGCTTTGGAATGTCTCCAGAGAGGGAGACTCCAGGACCCCCCTAGTCAGCCCATTCCAGGGCTCTGCCACCTTCCACCATGGAAAGAAGCTCTTCCTCATGCTGAGGTGGAACTTGTAGTGTTTTAATTTATGGCCACTGCCCTTCATCCTGTCACTGGGCACCACTGAAAAGTGTGGCACCAATCCAGGTCTTCCCAGCCTCTGACAGAGCAGCACAACTGAACCTGAGAACACCCTCAGAAATCCTGCAATACCCTTTTTAGAGGCTCAAGTCCAATAACACATCCCTGCAGCCCCAGTTCCCCAGCCAGACCCCAGGAATGCTGCTCCATACCTGGAGCAGGGCGTTCTCCTGCCTCAGTTTGGCAACGCTGTTCTCAGCTTTCACAGCCCGCTTCTGAAACACAACAAAGATGATTTACACCACACAGGACACAGCAGCAGCTTGGGCTACACAGGAATGAGCGATTCCAGCACAGGACTTGGAGGGATATGGTTTGTGTTTGCCCATCTCGTGTTCCTAATGCTTTAGGAGGTGGGAACAGCTCCTTCCTCCCCTCCCCATTTCTCCTTTTGGGGATCTGCAGGTGCCACCCAGCACTTCTGGACATAATTTATTCTTTTTTTTCTTGGACAAGAAGAAAAGACACTCAGTATAAATAAGCAAACAGGAAAACCAGGTCATAGTTCACACAGGATGTCTTGTCAGAAGGCTGCAAAAAAAAAAGCAACTTCAGCTGATGAATCCAGAAATTGTATTAAAGCAAAGACCTGCCTTACTCTAGGGAAAGAAAGGAGTTCTGGCCTGGGATGCTGTCTTGTTCCAAGGGAAAAGTTTGAACTCATCAGAGCTGTTTGGGTGAAGCAATCACTGCAGCTTCCCTCCCTCTCCTGGGAAAGGAGGAAAAGTGATGGAATTACAGTTCCAACTGCCAACACCAACACTTACCGTCATCAGCTGGAGATTTTGCTCCACGTGCTGCACCATTGCTTCCAGATCCTGTGCTTCTTTTTCTTCTTTGATTTTGTTTTCCTCAAGCTTTTTCTCAAGCTTCCTCATCCTTAAAAAACACCAAGAGATGACGTACAGTAAGTGCTTGTAACGGTAAATACTTCAGGAAGAAAATGCTAGGGATCAAGGAAGGATGAAGAAACTTATTCTTTTATACAAAAAATTAAATTCTTCCCACAGAGCTCCAAGTTCTAGGCTGAGGCTCAGGGGATTTCTCTGTTCCACATCCATCAGATTCAGAGCTGAATAAAACTGCCACCCTAGCTGGGTCACCAGGTTGTTTAACCTCAGGAAATGCAAGTCTCTCAGGTTGTTCACCAGCAAAAATAAAAGGTATTTTTTTTTGCTTCAAAGGAGAGAGATGAGTATTCATTATTTTGTTAAGCTGAAGCTTCCTGAAATAAATCCTGTCGAGCCCTACCCTTGTTCTCACTCACCACCTGCACTGCACAAAGCACAGACCACACAGACACAGCAGATGTCAGCTGGCTGCTTGCTTTCCAAGACTTTTCCAATAAGAAAACCAGGTTTGCCAATGTTTTCTTTTAATAAACAGCACAGATTTCAACTACCTCCTCCTTCTTTAAGGACACGGACTGTTTCCAGGGAGCCCCTCTTTTAAGCCAATTCCTTGGGTGGTTATTTCCCCCCCCACTGTGTCTTACTTATCTGCTTGGGTTTCAGAGAGAACTTGAGTTTGCTGATCTTGCTTCTCAAAGTGGCATTCTCTTCTTTCAGCTAAAAAAAGAAACATTAGGATTGAGGGTGCAGTTTCACAACACTACAAACACTCCAACACCAAAACATTCAGCTTTAATGCTGGGAATTCTTGCACTTTCTGATACATTCATGCTTAATTTTGCACCCACTTTCCCTCTCTAGAAACCGCTTCACTGACCCCGTGGGGCACAGGAAGGTGGCACTGAGCAACCCGTGCACGATGTGACTAATTAAACGCTGCCAATTCTAAATTAACGTGACCTCCAGGGGCAGGAGCACGAGGAAGTCACCCGGGTCATACCCAGAGCAGAAGGGCAGGGAAGGCGCTGGACCTGGCTCATGGTGAAAAGCGCTTTTCCAGCCCTGCCTCTCTCCCTCAGCTGCTCTTCAGGCTGGGGCTGTCACATCAGTCCTGCAACCATCTGACAGCCAGCCCGGGCTCGCCGGGGGCGGGCAGTGCTCACCTGCTCGTAGCTGGGCTGCCGAGCCGGGGCACAGCCCGGGCCCGGGGGGGTTCCGGGGGCGGCCACGCAGAGGGAACCGGCGGAGGGCGAGGCGGGTCCGGCGGCAGCGAGGTGGGCCCGCTCGACGGCCAGCGGCTGGTAGCTTTCGCTCCATTCCTCCTCCTCCTCCTCCTCCTCTTCGTCATCCCCCACCTCTACGGGCATTGCGGGCAGCGGGAGCGCGGTGGGCCCGGGCGGCGCCGCCTGCGCAGGGGAGAGCGGGGCTGAGGCGGGCGCTGAGGGGAGGCGGAACCCGGCCGCGCCACCGCCCAGGGCCTTACCTGGGGGGCTGCGCCCGCCCCGCCGCGGGCCTTGGTGCGGACGAACTCTCGGAAGGAGAAGGGGTTGGGCTCGTCCGGGAGCGGCCCCGGCAGCGGCTCCGCCGCCATGGCGGCCCGAGGGCTCCGCGGGGCGGGGCCTCCCGGGCGGGACGGGCCAATCAGCGAGCGAGCGGCGGGGCGGGCCACGCCCCTTTCCCCCTCGCGGCCGCGCCCACGTGGGCCCGGCGGTCTCGGGTGGCGGCAAGATGGCGGCGGCCATGGCGTGGCTGCGGCGCGGCGCGGCCCGGCGGTGAGCGCGGCCCCGGGGGCAGCGCTGGGGGCCGGGGGGGACCGCCCGGGGAGGGGACAGCGCCCGGCACCGCGGGGCGAGGCGGGCAGCGCCCCGGGGCGCGCAGCGCTGGGTGCCGGCCTCGGCGGAGGCGCTGCCGGCGCGGTGTCCCCGCGCATCCCGACGCTGTCCCCGCTGTCCCCAGGTGCGGGCTGGCGGCCGGGCGGAGCTACAGCGGCGGCGGAGCCTACCCCAGCGTGTCGCTGGCCTGCCCGCTGCCCGGCGTGCCCAAGGCCGTGTTCGCGGCCGCCGAGGGCCGGGAGCGCTTCGAGACGCGGGTGACGGTGCTGGAGAACGGGCTGCGCGTCGCCTCCCAGAACAAGTTCGGGCAGTTCTGCACCGTGGGCAGTGAGTACCCGGGGTGGGGAGGCCTCGGCTGCCCCCGAGCCAGGTGCCTGTGTAAGGACTAGAGGTGGAAAAGTTACGCTGATTTATTCTCTTCTTGACGCCAGTTCTTGTGAATTCGGGATCAAGACACGAAGCGAAATACCTCAGTGGTATCTCCCACTTCTTGGAAAAGCTGGCCTTCTCCGTGAGTACTGCCCTGCCCTGCCCTGCCTAGCACGGGGGCCTGAGCACTACAGAACGGTTTGGGTTGGACAGGACCTTAAAGACCATCCAGTTCCACCCCCTGCCCTGGGCAGGGACACTCCCACTATCCCAGGTCACTCCAAGCCCCCTCCAACCTGGCCTTGGACACTTCCAGGGATGGAGCAGCCACAGCTTCTCTGGGCAACCTGTGCCAGGGCCTCCCCACCCTCACAGAAGATGCTTGTTCTGGGCTACACTGAAGGGTTATAAAAACTTATTGCTTTAATAATTAGTAACATATTTTCTTTCTTAGTCCACAGCTCAGTTTGGCAGCAAGGATGAAATTCTCCTCACCTTGGAGAAGCACGGGGGCATTTGTGACTGCCAGGCATCGAGGTAGGCTCTCCTCCTGCTCTCTTGTAACACTGACAAGCACTTTTGAGTCCCTTTTTCTGGTCTGGGGCAGTAAAAGCCACTTTTTGTTTCCAAGCAGCAGAAATCCATTTGTGGTGGCTGCTGGGAAGCTACAAAACTGAAGCTGAAAGGGTTATAAAGTTAATTTCTATTTCCTTTTGAAAGCATTTAACGAGCAAAGCAGCTTTACCTGACACTGACAGGACCCTGAGTGATCCCAGAAGTGATTTCTCAGCGCAGAACTGTCTGTCTGTGTTGCAGGGACACCATCATGTACGCTGTGTCTGCCGATGCCAGAGGCCTGGACACCGTGGTCAACCTGCTGGCTGACGTAGCGCTGCAGCCCAGGTTGTCAGGTCTGGGAAACACAATTCTCTTGCCTCTAAAAAAAAGATTCTCCAGCGTGTGTGGCTTGCTCTTTAAGATTTCTTCACTAGATTGTGCTCATCAGGAACTTGCCTTGCAGCAGTCGGGGGTTGTGATCTCTCGCTCTCTGTCCCGTTCCAGATGAGGAGATCGAGATGACCCGCACGGCCATCCGGTTTGAGCTGGAGGATTTGAACATGAGGCCTGACCCAGAGCCTCTGCTCACTGAGATGATCCACGCGGTAACACGCGGGAAATTCTGCCTTGCATGCAGTGCCCTGCATTCTCCTCGTTTTTCTGTCAGCTCCAGGATTTATTTTATGTTATCCTAAAAAGGTTTTTTTGTTACTCAGTTTGATTTCAGTGATGGGAGAATTTTGCTGTCACTCCACTCTGAAATCCAGCATTCTGCACTTGTGAGAGATTCTAACCTAAACTAAAAAATATTATTTACAACTTAACCTTTGTGGTTGTGGGTGGCAGTTGATTAATGAAATAACGCCCAGCCTTTCCTCTCTCACACGTCTCAAACACGCTGCCTTAATTCCAAAACAGAAAGGGAAGGTTTAGAGGAGGGGTTTAGAGGGGGAGGGGGGTGAGGTGATATTTGTTCCTTCAATGTGCCTGCTCCCTTTCAGGCAGCCTTCAGAGACAACACAGTTGGGCTGAACAGGTTCTGCCCCGTGGAGAACACGGACAAAATCGACCGGGCCGTGCTGCACTCGTACCTGCGCAGCTACTACACCCCCGACAGGATGGTGCTGGCTGGGGTGGGCATCGAGCACGAGCAGCTGGTGGAGTGTGCCAGGAAATACCTGCTGGGAGTGGAGCCCGTGTGGGGCAGCGGGCAGAGCAGGGGCGTGGACAGGTCCGTGGCTCAGTACACGGGAGGCATCGTCAAGGTGAGGGCTGGAGGGGGTGCCGTGCCCCTTGCTGTCAGTGGGAAGGGCAGGTTTGGAGTCCAGCTGGTTTTTTGCTTTTCTGAGGTTCCATACTGTTCGTGAGCATGAGCCAAAAGTGGCCATGGCAGCTGGTAATGGGGTGACACGTTAATTATCAGGAATGTATCAGACCAGATGCAACAGCAGTGAAAATCAGTCCTAATAACCTGTCTGCTCTTCCCACAGGTTGAAAAAGACATGTCAGATGTGAGTCTGGGCCCTACTCCCATCCCAGAGCTCACCCACATCATGATTGGGTTAGAAAGCTGCTCATTTTTAGTAAGTATTAACCTAAGGTCCTTTGTTTTGGGAGCCCTGTACTTGAAGAATCCCAGAACACTGACTCATTCCATAAACATTGGCACTCTTCCTGCTGCTGTGTTCAGACAAGCAGCTTTTCCACTGACAGTTGGATGCAGGCACTGACCTTCCCACTCCTCTTGTGCCACTCTTTTCTCTCCCCTTTACTCACCCCAGACCCTTGAGAGCTCTGCCATGACCTGACTGAATGTCTTGTTGCAATCCAGGAGGACGATTTCATTCCCTTTGCCGTGCTGAACATGATGATGGGAGGTGGTGGCTCTTTCTCAGCTGGAGGGCCTGGCAAGGGCATGTTCACCCGACTGTACCTCAACGTGCTCAACAGGTTGGTTTGCCTGTTAAGGGGTGGCAGAAACAGTCCCCCAGCAGGTTCATATGGAAGAAGTGAAAGCAAACATCCCCAGGTTATTCTGCTTGAAACAAGGGACTGGTTTGTCAATGAGCATTTTGAGAGGAAGAAAGTCTCACTGGCACTGCTGAGAATCCTGGAAGTGCACTGGGAGGGCACTCACTGTCCGTGTTTAATTTTTACACGTAAATTCTGGGTTTTTAATTTGAAAATGCTGCTTGTGTACCCGCAGGCACCACTGGATGTACAATGCAACCTCTTACCACCACAGTTACGAGGACACAGGTCTCCTGTGCATCCATGCCAGTGCAGATCCAAAGCAGGTACAGAGTCCTGTATTCAAAGACAGGTGTCCTTAAAAAGTAACCACATCACTCAGTACCAGACAGTAATGCTGACACAGTAAGTGTTGTTCTGATCTTCTTTCAATGATCTGGTTTCTGTAGGTTCGGGAGATGGTGGAAATCATCACCAGAGAATTCATCCTCATGGCAGGAGCAGTGGGAGAGGTCAGTAGCACATCTGAACCTGCAGACGGTCTTTGAGTTGAAATAATCCCTGGAAGTGTCCAAGGCCAGGGTGGACAGGGCTTGGAGCAACCTGGGGTAGAGAAAGGTGTCCCATGACTGGGGGATGGAAAGAGATGAGCCTTAAGGTCCCTTCCAAGCAAACCATCCTGGGACTGTGTGAACACACTGCAGAACTCCTCCATGTTACCTCGTGTCAGGGAGCAGCCACCACAATTTTTGGAACATTATTTGTGTTTCCTGCTCCTTCACAGGTAGAACTTGAGCGAGCCAAGACGCAGCTCAAATCCATGCTCATGATGAACCTCGAGTCTAGGCCGGTGATCTTCGAGGATGTGGGAAGGCAGGTGTTGGCCACAAACACAAGGAAGCTACCTCATGAGCTGTGTGCCCTCATCGGTGAGTACACCATGCCTTGCCTTGAGTGAATGTAGGTGCAGTTGGGGCAGGGCCACTTAGAACATACTCTTGCAGCACAGCTGAATTACTGCAGAAATATATTTCAAACTGTTCTTGATGGCTTTCAGGGTAGCACAGGGCTTATTTTAGTCAGAAGGAAGGAAAAACCAGAAGCATGGAAGAAAAGTGATTGTTTCAGCATGATTATACTTACGGTATTGTCGTCATAGTCTGCCTTTGTTTTTTTTTTTTTGCCTGCAGGTCAGGTGAAACCTACTGATATCAAGAGGGTGGTCACTAAGATGCTCCACAAGAAGCCAGCTGTGGCTGCCCTGGGTGACCTGACAGACCTGCCCTCCTACGAGCACATCCAGACGGCGCTTTCCAGCAAGGACGGGCGGCTCCCGCGGCTGTACCGGCTCTTCCGATAGAGCAGCACGTCCTGCCAGGCTCACAGACTCCCTTCTCTTGGAATTTTTTTTCAGATTATAATGTTGCTGTACCACCCTCCCTCCCCCCAGAGCTTCCCAGGCATACTGTGCAAACCATGGAGCTGTGCTGCCAGCGGGCAAAGCTGCTTCGGAGCACCGGACCGCGAAGAGCTCGCGTGGGATTCCTTCCCGAGGGATGTGGCGGCACCTTAAAGAGCTTGGCTTACACATCTGAACTCGAGGAATATTTATAGCTGTTACCAAGGTGAACAAAGACCTGCTCAAACTGAATTAGGACTATTATAATAGTTATTATCCCCGTCAAGTTTGGCAAAAAGGTTCCTGCAGTCCAGGTTTTGTTGCAAATCATGGATTCGTTTCATCAGCAGTCCCCACTGGGAGTCACGTGTCTGGGAATAACTTCATCATTTTGCTGGAGCTCAGAGGGAAGCAGACCCAGGGCATAACCAAGTTTCTGTGGAGTTCATCTGCAGGGATACTGTGCATAATGCCACAC